TCTCTCTCTCTCTCTCTCTCTCTCTCTCTCTCTCTCTCTCTCTCTCTCTCTCTCTCTATATATATATATATATATATATATATATATGCCAGTCTGAGCTCTCAACATTAGTCTACCGAGGTTTCATTGTTATACCTACCAAGACATATCTGTGGAAAACAATATGCCAGTCAAAAATATTATTACTAATCTTCCCAAACTCGTCCAAAAACATAAACGAAGAATTACCAACATGTGGCTATACATTACTTCAAGAATCCTATCTGCCTAGTGCTAATAGACTTTCTTTATCAACAAGTTCTAGAAACAATATATTTTTCTCTACTTGAAAGCAGTGTTGATGTTGTGTAAAACATTAACATTTAGTTACACCTGCGGAATCCACGCAACATAGGTCCATCCATAGAGTAACAATGCGATATATTCACAGCTTATGCGACGGCATGGGTAAACATGACTATTCTACAAACAGATGAAAGAATAAGAGAGCTAAATGTGCAGTGCAATGAAAATAAAAATACTATTAGAAAATTACACGTATAATTAAATTGAACCTGTTTGGGAACAAAACAAGTGCTGCCACCTGGTGCACACGTTCACCTATATAATCAAAGCACTATCTACTCTTTAATTGCCGCTTATACCCGAGATAGGCAGTCAGTTACACCACTACTTCCACACACTCATCGATCACAGATCAAACCCTCAACAAAAGTTTGAATGGTGGAGGAACGTATATCGAAGATGAGCACTGGCCTCTACCGAAATAGTCAGAAGGCTCGTGCCACGAGATGTTGAAACCGATGAAGCAAACATCAAAAGTAAACACGCCCCCGGAATGCATTTGAGCAGAAAAAACGCGTAAATAGCAAAAAAAACAGCACACTCGGTCGCACATTTTTCATCGATCTGGATCATTACTGCACAGGCATTTGTGTGTGTGCAACACCGAATCACACGATGCACAGGTCTCAGTGGAAGTCAACCACTCTAAATATTTAGTCACGTGTCAAGCGGTTTTCGAGCCACTATTGCGCTTTTACACTAGAATCAGTGATGGAAGAGAAAAGCACGTCGCCCTTGCCAGTTATCAGAACCTTTTCCACTGGAAAAAGCTGTTAACAGAGCACCAGTCTGCCAGTAGGAAACCGTGCTATACAAACTCCCTCTCAGTTACACAAACTCAATTTCTGACGTCCTTGTCCCGACCATTCCTGCAAGTAAATGTCGCATATTTGTCGGCGATTAGTGCGCACGCCTGGAAACTACGAAATGCGGGCGTGACAGGGACGGAGCAAGCACATCCGAAAGCACATGTACACATTTTGTTTCAATGTCCGTGAATATATACAAAGTTTACAAAGCGCCCTGTCCAGCCAAAGATTGTGTCTTGTGAGTCTCTAACATAGCACTGAGCTCTGATCCATACATCCTGATAGGTCAAAGACAGGTTGTACTATATATTTATATATATATATATACATATATATATACACATGTCTAATAATAAGCACATTACCACACTTCAGGCCAGCATGCCTGGAGAACATGTCAGGACAAGGGCCCCATTGCCAGTTGATCTCTATTTGCGTTCAAACTTAACATAGAACACCGTTAGGTAAACATTTTGAGAGCGAGCGAGCGAATGCTCAACTAGCGAACTAACTGAGAAGCTGCAGCTTGTAGAGCAATCATCGGCACACAGACACGTAGATTTGTTCAGCGAGCGCTGTCGTTCAACGTGCGACAGCGTTTAACGATTCAACGACAGATTTTTCAAATGCGCAATTCCTCAGCGTTTCTTCTCGCGGTGTGCATATATATACATATTACAGAATACGTGAGCGACGGTGAAATCGTCAGAGGTCGACGAGTACAGTGGCGACTGCTCGTCGTCTTGTCGTCGTCTCGGTCGTCATGGTTACGCGATGACGAGCGGCTCGTCGTCAGCGAAGCCGCGTATCATCGGCGAGTCTTCCTCATCGTCTCCACCTGAAACACGTTCGCTTGTTAGCTGTCGGCATCACCCACGGCGACAGCTGCCCGCATCACCTACGGCAACAGCTGTCTGCATCACCTGCAGCAAGAGCTGACTGCATCGCCCACGGCAACAGCTGTCAGCATCGCCCACGGCAACAGCTGTCTACATCGCCCGTAGCAACAGATGTCTGCATCACCCGCAGCAACAGCTGACTGCATCGCCCGCGGCAACAGCTGTCTGCATCGCCCGCGGCAACAGCTGTCTGCATCACCCGCAGCAACAGCTGTCCGCATCGCCCGCGGCAACAGCTGTCAGCATCACTTGCAGCAACAGCTGTCCGCACTACTCACGGCAACAGTCTCATGGTTCATACAGGAGGACTGAAATTTTTTCCAATGACTTTTCAAGGACTTTTCAAAGACATTTCATCGGAAATTTAATGACATTTCATCAGACATTTTATCGGAATTCATACACAGAACAAAACATATCTGGATTAATTTAATAACCACATTCTTAATCACTGCATGTCACCTCTAAAACTTACCTGGATCACATTAATAAACCATTCTAAACACTGTCACTTCTACAACATACCTTGATTTACTGACTGATTTTACTGACTTACTGTAATTTGTGATCATCATTTAACTGTCTATCGTGTCTATAGCTTTTTAAGCTCATTTAACGCAATTTTTATTGAGGTTTGCACATTATTGATGGTACAACATTTCTTTTTATTATAGGCAAGGATTCTTTCTAAAAATTCAAGGACATTTTCATGAAATTCAAGCACTTTTCAAGTACAAAATCAACATTTACTAAATTCAAGTACTTTTCAAGGACTCCCCTCAAATTCAAGGACTGTGCGAACCATGTGTCTGCATCGCCCACAGCAACAGCAGTCTGCATCACCCACGGCAACAGCTGCCTGCATCGGCCGCAGCAACAGCTGTCCGCATCACCCGCTGCAACTGTGCCTGCGGCGACAGACAAACCATCCGATTACCAAGCCCGCGCGAATCGCGGCGAGTGGCGCCACCTACCGAGGTCCGTGCTGAACGTAGTCGTGCCGGACCGCGTGTCATAGTGGCTGTTGGCGAAGGCAAGGAAGCTGCGTCGCAGGCGCCGATGCTTCATCCAGAAGATCACCATGCCGACGACGAGCAGGGCGATGACGACACCGAGAGACGGCAGCACGACACGGTAGAGCATCGACGACTCGTGCGCGTCCTCGCCGCCTGCGTAGCCTGCAACAACACAAATATAGAACGGACACCTGTATACAATGGACACCTGTATATAACGGTCACTTGCGACCTTTTCCCGCGAGTTGCGATTCGCACGACAGCACATGCACAGAACCCAACCCCATCCCCCATGCAACCGATTAGCTTTCATAGTCCACCCCACGAGTGACCCTCACATTCTGCGACGACCACACTTCACACGAACGCTCCTCGCCACCTTTCGGCTCCTTCACCAAGAGGAGGACCGTTATCTAAGGCGAGGGAGGGGGAAGTGTGGACGTTGCCGCGGCGATGACCTACCGTGCGGATGTATGTCTGCTTCGTACGTGCGCGACAGCTGCCCGTAGTGACCGCTGACCCGGTCAACGCTGACCGCGAACCGGTAGAAGCGGCCAAGCTGCATCGTCGCCGGGAAATCAAACTCGTTGCCGGGCGGCGCCGTGTAGCGGTGCGTCAGGTTGCCGTCGCCCTCGGCAACCCAGATCGCGTATCCCTGCAGTAGTCGATAATTGCGTGAATGAATGGTGTGACGTTCTAATAGTTGTCTTTTGACTGGACAGACTGGATTTATTTGATTGACTGGCGACGACAAATTTGATTATTTTAACACTAAATGAACTATTTCGTTTAAATCGTTAAAATGTCTATGAAGAATATTATTAACTTTTCACAAAGAGAAAGGTAGAAACGTGTACTATCCGATGATAAATGATAAATATAACACATCGCAGGTAAATGGTAAGACGATTGTTGCAGTAATTTATACTGTTATTATTTAGAGTCTAGTTGGGTCACTCTCTATTTGCACCCTGTTTAATATTTTGGCAAAAAATGGCATCGTAAATGATCCAAGTTATCTAAGACATGTATTATAGGTGAAGAGAATTAGCAATGTTGCAATATCGTCACTATTGTGCGAGAATGAACAGCTCTCTTGATCACTAATCGAATTCTTAGTCACCAATCGAAAAGGCGATGGCAGGAAGGATGTATGTGAATAACGAATGGCAAAAGAAAGACAGATAGTGAGACCGTAGGTATGGGATGACAAATCGTACAGATGGGCTCACGGGAACAATGTGTGTGATGCAGTTATGATTGTAAGGATGGGCTCACGGGAACAATGTGTGTGACGCAGTGATGATTGTAAGGATGCACTCACATGAACACTGTGTGTGACGCAGTGATGATTGTAAGGATGCACTCACATGAACACTGTGTGTGACGCAGTGATGATTGTAAGGATGCACTCACGGGAACAATGTGTGTGACGCAGTGATGATTGGTAGGCATGGCTCACATTGAACACTGTGTGTGACGAGTTGCATGCTTGTATAAGGATGCCAACTCACATGAATCACTGTTGCTGACGCAGTGATGATTGCTAAGGATGACTCACATGACACTGTGTGATGAGCGAGTAATGATTTAAGATGCCACTCACAATGAACACTGATGTTGTGACGCAGTGATGAATTGTAAGGCGATGCACTTCACATGAACACTCGTTCTGTGTGACGCCAATTGATGTTATAAGGACAACACTTAACAGAACACTGTGTGTTAAACAGGGATGACTGTACGGACGAGCTCAGAAGAACAGCATGGGGAAGTGTAACTTAGCTTACCATGCCGGCTGGCATCTCTGCTGGTGCCCGCCACGACAGCTCCAACACGCCGCCCAGTGTGAGGACTGCCTTCACCTCGGTAGGTGCCGGGTATGAAGCTGCAAACAAACGCACAACCAACGGTTTAGAACAGCACACCCACAGATGCAGAAATAGGGGAAGAATGATGCCAGCCTCCGATGATCGTAGCGAGGTAACGAGAACAGAAGATTCTCCGAGTCGTAGAATAAGGAGAGTAGTTACTGACACTGCATGCTAGGGAATCCAGTCTGCTGCTGTACTACTATGCAACAACAGTTAAGTCATACTCAATAATATTGGGCACGTGATATTGAAATTACTGAAGGTTAGGGACTTACGCACGTGCACATGCACGCATAATCGATATATAGAAAGAAAGAACATCGAAAAGAGGACGCCCCTTAGGTACACACGGTAGTTCGGCCTCTGTGTTGGCAATGGCCAGAAAATGCGATATTTCATGCTTCAAGGCACCATGTAAGGTGAAATAACAGGAATGAACTTAAAAAGTCTCATCTTATCTCATCTATCATGAAAAAATCGCACTAAAAACAGGAGGATCTTGCTCACAAACACAATCTAGAACTTCAGATCACGATCCTGATAGAATTTGATGATTCCAGACATTATATGTGCGTTTTTTTGCGATGAAATTTACCTATATCAATCTCCAACGGATTTGTCCACCTAGCACCTAGCACGTTTGTTTTCATGGTTACCGCGTAGGTGGCACCACGAATCAGATTCACCAGTGTGAAGTTGTTGAAAGCGGCTGTTGTTTGAGGGAGGGTGAACGAGCTAGGCTTGCTGGGATCCTGTTTGTCGGCTATTCTCACTACATAGCCCTGCAAAACAATAGCAGTGGTTAGATTGATACATAATCACAGCATATCACACACTGTCTATTACACGGAGCCCACACTATTAAATCTTATATAGATCTATCTTATCCTATATCCTAATATAAAACCAATTTATAATGATAATAATAACAATATAATATATAATTAATTTTATACACATTATTGAACCTAAATCTAGTCTGTGAATTTATTATGAAAAATGAGTTCTGTGTGCGTTATACACTGATAAAGTGAGTATAAAAAATCTCAACCAGGTAATGAGCAAAACTTTTATAAACGTTCCTATTTGTCTCTTATAGTTACATTACTGTAATCATAATGTACTCTCGCTTCTGTTTTTTAAGCAAGTGTAACATGCAAACGTTGTGATGAAAGAGATGCCCTAGTTACATACTTTTACAAAAGCTCACAAATACATTTAGTGTTTACATTATTCTACACGCTAAAAACACAATTGTTAATTTAAACGTGGTTAAACGTTGCGCACTTTACACAGCCAGACTTCAACTCACCAGCGGCTTTTTGACGATGTCACAAGAAGCCAACCAAGTGACGTTGACAGACGTCACGTTCGTGAGGTGTTCCCATGCCAACTTCTTCGGATGGCTCAAAACATCTATAAGCAAAGCTCGTCTTACAGTTTTTTACCTAACATTTCTCTCTTTTAAAATTTCTTGAGAGAGCTTCGGCACAACATTGAGAATGTCACTTTGTTAAATATTAGTACCTCTAAGACACTTTGAGGTTAACAGGTGTTACGTAAATATAGCCGAGAATCTTAATTACACGCAAATCATTCACAAGTCGTCACGTCTGACATTCAGTCTCACGATCATCCTTTCTTTGCAATTTTGTCAATCTGTCGTTTGACAAGTTTCAGAAAAGACATGGCTCAACCTACAGAACTTTATGTTCGCGCAATTGCCCTCAATTCGTTCTGGCGATTCGTTCTCAATGACCACACATCTGGGTCAGGAACGAACGAACGCCAACATCGCAACTGCCGATCGTCGCCGTTAATTCCGAGGAACAACGGTATCCTTTGGAACCGCTGCGAACCGTCGTTCGGCTGCGATCCCCCCGCACCATCGGTGGCGCCACCTACCGAACTCGGTGCGGCTGAGCGCGGCGTTGCTGAACGGTCCCTTTCCGGTCGGGCCGACGACGCGCACTTTGAAGATGTAGTCCTCACAGGAGACGAGATGCTTCAGCACGATGCTGGTCGCGCTCGTTCTCGCTCGCTCGCCACGCAGCAGCAGCCGATGCTCGTTAACGCCTGAAACACGACAGCAGACGCCTCCGTTAGCAACTGTAACAAGGCAGCTGCCTCCATTAGCAACGGTAATGAGGTAGCTGTGCCTCCGTTAGCAACGGTAACGAGGTAGCTGCCTCCGTTAGCAACGGTAACGAGGTAGCTGTGCCTCCGTTAGCAACGGTAACGAGGTAGCTGTGCCTCCGTTAGCAACCGTAACGAGGTAGCTGCCTCCGTTAGCAACGGTAATGAAGTAGCTGACTAGGCTAGCAATGGAAAGGTCATGACAATAGAAGGAATTTCATTATAAGTATAAGAAAATGATTAGTAATTCAACTTGTAGTCATTGTTGTGTCATTAACTGTACCATAGCTAATTCCATACGTCCAGGCTGTTGTGTCATTGGCTGGTGCCTTCCACATAAGTTCCACGCTTGTTGCATTGACAGTGTTTGCCACCAGCTGCCGTGGTGCTTTCAGTGACTTTCCTGTAAGCCAAGTAAAATATTAAAAGATATACAATAGGGCGAAAAAACTCACTACACAAGACAAAGCAAATGAAAGTGTCAATGACACTACAGCTCACCTTGGGTGTGATAGAAGAGAGAGATGATATTTAAAATTTGGTAAGTGTTTCATTTATGATGGACCGAGATGTGATCAAATGTCCTTATTCCCTGTTTTTTACTAATATAAATTTCACTGTTTTGTTTCAGGGCTAGTTTTGATGCGAAAATAAATGTTACAGATCTGAAAGTTTGAAATCTGGGCAAGAGATGGCGCTACGCCTAAATGATCGCCATTTTGGTTTTTGATTATCGCGCAAATAAAAGCAATAAAATATTCCAGTCAAATTACTGTAACGAAGAATCTAAAACACAATATTACACATAGGTACCGTATGATTAGGTAGGTAGGTAGGTAGGTAAATTTAACAAAATCGAATGAATCTAGATGGCCATTTTCATTTTTGCCAAAAAGTGGGCGTGGTTCGAAAGTAGTTCGACTGGCGTGCTCCAAAATAGGACGTTAAAATCTCTCCCATAGGAGTAACAACTGTATGCAAATTTAAACATGTGGGTCAAACGGTTCTTGAGTTATCGTTGACCGTAGGCAGACACTGAAATGCATAGTGAAACTGCCAAAATCTACCTAATTTGCATAATTTAATAAAAATATCAAAACCCGTGTGATATGTTTTGGAGCCAGTCCTTATTCATTCACATACCAAAAATTAGAAAACTCAGTTGAACCTGAACTGACTTATGGCCATTTCCATTTTTGTCAAAAAGTGGGCGTGGCTCGAAAGTAGGTCAACTGGCATGCTTCAAAATAGGACGTTCACATCTCTCCCATAGGAGTAACAACTGTATGCAATATGAAACATGTGGGTCAAACGATTCTCAAGTTATCGTTGACCGTAGCCAAATGTTGACGGACAGACGGACGGACGACGCCCCACGGAAATAGCTCATCTTGACGATGTCAAGGTGAGCTAAAAATGCGGTCCCATTCATGATATTATAACATACATGATGGGAATTACCAGCTTTAAATACTAACATTTACATTACATAGATGGGTGGATTTCTTTAGTAATCGTAATGTTACTGCTGTTATTGCCAACAAACACAGGCAAATATTGTTAATAGCTAAACACCGATGGGTCAGAAACGTCTATATTAAAATAAACTGATGAGCAAGACATTCCCTTGCCGTACAGCGTGTTACCAGCATGGGGAGGAAGTGGTAAGCAAATGATCAGATGACAATTTATCCTACCAAAAAAGATGGTTTTCAAGTTTTAACTAACACACGCTTAGACCCTGGCCTTGTTAGGGCAGAATGGGGCACTTAACTACTGGATTTTTACCTTTAGTAGTGACCTCTACAAAGGTCTCTGGTCCAGCTTCCTGGAAATGACCCTCGTCTCTGTATGCATACACCTTAAACACGTATTTGATGCCGGGGGATAGGCCATCCACTGTAACAGCAAACATGCAGGTGCTTACGAACAAGTTTTGAATTGAACAAAATGCACTGTTATGCATGTTGGGAGCGAGGAGAGGGAGAGGACAGATATTTGGTCCTGTTCAGCACATGTCTACCATCAGATTGCCCAGACATTTGCAAAGTTTGCTTGAATTTCCTGTTTGAGAATGCTAATGATGCTGACATTTCATTACATTGATGGTAATCTTGCCTTGCTAGTCCAATCAACTCACAATGTCAGACATGTGAGTGGAAGCAACTGAGAGCAACTGGATTGTTTTAGCCTTAAGGGCATGCAACAGCATTATTGCAAGAGCCTAATCACATGCCAGTTTTTATTGACGTATGAGCAACTGAGATCAACTGCCACGAGTGGGAATGCATTCCCTATTCTCTTGCAGTTGGGAGGAGCTACTATATTATTTCTATGCATGTAATTAACTAGATCTCATCGTTAATCCTTCATTGTTAATCACACTTGTTAATTAATCAAGTCAACCACTTATTGCTGGTGAAATTTTGACATGAATTCTCCACAAACCCCCAGCTACCAACAGTTCAGCTGTGTTGCTTCCAATCACACTCCTGATACATCTCCCACCCGAAAACCAGTGGTTGATAGAGTCGCGATGCTTCCAGGCGCACGTTAGAAATATGCGTTCTCTATCGCGAGCAGTTGACACATCAGCGACGCTGCTGCAGATACTCCTCCCAGATACAGGATTATTGATTATTGATTATTTATTACAGGATTACCAGATATTGATCCCGCAAACCCAGCTGCCCAACGGCCACGTCGCGTCACGTGCGGCCACGCAATCACGGCACGTGCAAACTGACCTGTCAGCTTCGTCTGCGTCGTCGTCATGACGATGTCGATGATGCCGTCCTGCACGTAGATGACCTTGTAGCCTTTGACGGGAACCTTCACAGCATCCCAGATGAGACTCACCGACGTGGACGTCGTCATGCCGACTTCCTCCTGCAGAGGAAGCCACCGTCGTTTGACACCAATGTTACCGCAGTTGCAAATTGCAGATGCGCAACATTTTGGAATTTTCAACATGTAAGGAAAAAATTTCCTAAACAAATCGCCTTCATGATTAATGAAAATCAGTCAGAAATTGGCAGAAATAGGAGTAAATCATACCTTCGCTCCCGTCACCTGGGAAATGGGAGCTTCCTGGAATCTGAATTTCACCGCTTCTGACCTTGGACCCACGCAAGCAATGCCTGACACGGTATGAGCCTCATTTACTGCAGCCACCTGTTGGTAAAGCATTCGATGTACTACCTAGTATTTTCACTCACCTAGCCATCTGTCTGTCTGTCTGTCTGTCTGTTTGTTTGTTTGTCTGTCAGTCTGTCTGCACACCTTCATGTGTGTTTATGGTCGAGAGCCTCTCTTAATGTGATGAATGGACATACGATATTAAAGGGACAGTAGCCTCTAGGATTTTACTGCATACAACTGTACTTACTGTATAACAAATCGTCTATACCCACACGTATTTGTCACCAGATACCTAATTTAATTGTTATAATTAATTACACATCAACGCTACGAAATTTGAACGGCGCCATGACACCCGCGACCGTGCTGCCACCCCGAAAAAGTTGCGTATTTGACAATTTATTTTGCACGTTACAGACCGAGGGCTAATCACAAAAGTGCAATTATATTTATACCTAAATGCTATTTAACCGAACGATATTCATTTTAGGGCAAATTTATCCATATTATAACTGAAACTATATGTCGTTTATAAGATATTACAATCCTTTTGCTTTTAAATGAATAAATAAGAAACACCCTCGGTCTGTAGCCCTTGGCTGGAAAGTGGTTTTGCGCAACTTATCAGATCGTGCGCTTTGAGTGGCGCCACCGTCGTTGTAATCAAACTGTAGTCGTTAGTTTTAAAACATTTAAAAAAAATATTTCTAATGGTGATTGAACCATGAAACTTCGTATGTAGCGTAATTATAACCTAAATTAGCTCAAAATAACCCTAGAACCTAGAGTAAACTCTCCCTTTAAACACATTTTCCCAAAAAATTGGCAGCTTTTCTTTCACAAAATTTTTGCATGAGAATTGTTAACATTTAAAAATGCTGACAGGACATTTTCTACTTTTTTACGCCCATGTAGATAACCACTAAGGAGGTCTATGCAAATTTGCAAAAAATAGAATTTTTTATAAATAGATTGCATGCTCAGAGGCTCTTTGGCAAGGTTTGTTGTGGGAAACTCTCGGGCATAATTACAGCATCGAATACCCATAATACCCGAATCGATAGATCCCCCACAAACATCCAAAAATTCGGTAAACTGCCGATCGACAGAAAATGCTCATTCAGACATATCTTTATATCATTATATTATATATCATTATATTTATATTTTACATTATATATCATTTATATTTATTATATATATATTTTATATTATTATCATTTATATCTCGTAGCGGTGTCTCACGTGGTGCGAGATACGACATTGGCAACGTCGGCAGTACGCGAGCGTGAACGCAGATCTATCGTACCTGGAATGTGTATGTCTCCGTCGACTTCAGATTCTTCACGTACATGTAGGTGACCATTCTGTTGACACCAGATGTCTCCACCATCTCCGGCACGGGTGGCGTGTAGTAAACCTGCCGCGAGGTGATTCATTCATTCATTCATTCATTCGTTTATTCACTCTTTCTTCATTCATTCACTCAATCATTTATTCACTCATTAATTAATTACTTAATTCCCCTATTAAATATATATTATATATATATATATTTTATTATTTGTTTATTTTAATGACGGTCCATTGGTAAAATGTACCAAAACGAAATAACAACTAAACTTGCATGCTTCTCATGGTAGAATGGTAGGTGGTAGATGTTAGGTGCAAATACTGAGCAAACATCAGCTTAATGCAGCTCACAATACACCCGATGTGGTTGTAAAATGAATCTCAACACAGATCTAATATGGCTAGGACGAAACCTAACGTCCAACGCTTACCTTCACGATCAGTTGTTAATTAGGTAACCTAGGTAATCACGAAAAACATTTCCCGAGCAGGTATTAGTTAGCTAAGCTGTGTCAGGCAGTAGTCCCAAAAAAAATAGGTGTCACACGGCCTGCGTGGGATCGAATCGAGTTGCAACTGAACAATACCTTGTAAGTACTTATCAGTCCGTTTGGACTGAGTGGTTCCTTCCACACTACTCTGACAGTGTTGTCGATTCCCTCAGGCTGGCTAACCGTCACATTCAGAGGGGCAGTCGGACCTAGATGTGATCAGATAACGGATCAGAGATTGCGCATGCTAACACGTCATTCGAACACTCACGTTGTGTTGATCAAACTGCAGTGTGATAGAGAAAATACGAGACTTACGAAATAACAAGTGCTTAATAAAATAACCAGAAAAAATTCGCTTTGAAAGATTAGTATACGCATCAATCGATGGCTTGAACGCTCCCAGAGTTAAGACAATGTAAGAGCGGGAGGGAAGTCGCACAGCATTCTACCGACGTTCGTTCATTAGCGAGCCAATTACACGAGCGTCTGAAACGCGTTTTTATACATATGCTCACTCCATCAAACATTACGATCGACTGCATTTCCCGATAAAAACTACGAAATCACGAAACTACGTGTTTTTATACATATACTCACTCCATCCATCAAACATTACGATCGACTGCATATGCCGATAAAAACTACAAAATCACGAAACTACGCGTTTTTATACATATACTCACTCCATCCAACAATTACGATCGACTGCATTTCCCGATAAAAACTACGAAATCACGAAACAACGCGTTTTTATACATATACTCCATCAAACATTACGATCGATTGCATTTCCCGATCAAAACTACGAAATCGATGTGCATTTACATCGACGCAGAACGATCGGGAACGACCGTGCGATGCATGGACCCCCTATCGATTCCATCCCGATTCCATTTCCATTCAATGGAAATGCAATTGATCGTAACGTTTGATGGAGTATATGTCTAAAAATGCTTAGTTTCGTTGTTTCGTAGTTTTTATCGGGAAATGCAATCGATCGTAATGTTTGATGGAGTATATGTATAAAAACGCGTAGTTTCGTAATTTCGTAAGTTTGATCGGGAAATGCAATCGATCGTAAAGTTTGATGGAGTACAGATCTCTAAAACCATATTTCGAAAGTTCGTGTAATTGTCTCGTTCCGCGTCTATTCCGCGTCGTCGCGTGATGCTTACATCCGTCGCTGGTCAGCACGTTCGAGTAGGGTTCGTAGAGGGCGTGTAGGTGGCTGTGTCCGGCGTGAGTCGCGTTCACACTCACCGACGCCTCGTACTGCGTGTTCGGCAGCAGGTTGCGGAAGCGGAACGAGTTGCCGCGCTGGTTCGTGTAGTTCATCCACTCGCCGCCCTGCAATCTACGCCGCGCCGCCGCAGAATAAGTACTCGTGTCGACGGCCGCCAGGTGGCGCCACCGAAATATCGTGCAATTTTTAGTCGCGTCGTGCACGGTTTAAGAGAGCGAGCGGACACGATTTCGCGAGCCCGTGTCGCCACGTCGCGATCGTGGCAACGAAAAAGTGCCGAGAGACATGATTTCAAACGAATCAAATCACAATTTATCTCGGTTTTTGTGCTTAAGCCATCTGTCAAAAATTTTATCATCATCTCCCTTGACAATTAATAGTTTTAGCCACTCACAACCCTGTTTTAATTTGACACCATGGATATTTGATTGAACAATAGTTTGGCGGTGACATAGAGCCGAGGTTTGGAAACCATGCCACATAACAGACAATAAATATCAATGTAAACATACAAGATAAAATTGTGAACAATAACCATCTTTAATAATAATAAGAAGTTGAATAATAATAATAATAATAATAATACTGTAGATTTTCATAGAAGTATACATCACCCATGGCTCACTCACCCATTTATTTCCTTGTGGAATGATTCGGGAGAAACTTCAGCAACTAACCAAATACGTATTCAGCAACGTAAATCTCAGTAGCAATACCTTATGGATGGCTTGTAGGTGATGTCAAAGCCGTGCCTGTTGCTCGGCGGTTCCCATAGCAACAGGAAGCTGGAGTTTGTCACGCTCTTTCTGTCCACTTGTATGTAGCCGACGTGGATAGACTGCGACTCTGTAATCGACGGCAATCGAGTTTTAAAACTGAGCGACTCGAACCCTCGAGAAACTTCCTTCCCGCTTTTAGGAATCTGGGATAATTCTCTGGCATCATGGAAGGGCTTTTCCTATTGATTTAGGTTACGATAGTGTGGTCAAGCAATTGTCACGCTCAGCGAATACAGCAGGTGGCAGCAAATATTTTGATATCACCGGAAACATTGGAGCAAGAAACCTGGGTCACGACTAAGCAGCGCTGTTCGATAAATAGTAGGCGTAGACATATGACAATAGGTCTGGCCTACCACTACGCAGCATTGTTCTGTAACTAGTACTCACACACATCTGACTACAGGATTACGCTAGCACTACACGATGTTGTTCCGTAACTAGTAGTCATACATATTTGACTGCATGACTGGCCTAACAGAGAACTTTTCACTAAATCAGTTTTCGTGGCTTCCGGGCAAATCATTACATTATATCATCATCATCATCATCATCATCATCACTATCATCATCATCACCATCATCATCATCACCATCACGGTTGATGCCACGCTGCCACCGTTTGCGGCGCCGACTGTCATTGACTCACCCAGACCCTTGCACTTCTCGCTGTCTTCGTCCGAGCTGTCCAGACAGTCGATGTGTCCGTCGCACCAGCGAAAGACATCGATGCACTCCGAGCCGTCGACACACTGAGTCTGTCCGGTGGGACACGTCGGAGCGGTGAAGTTCACCTTATCTGCAACGGCATGTCACGACACGATGCGTCACGACACGATTGGGCGTGCATCGTTCACGTTCAATGCGTCACGACACGATGCGTCACGACACGATGCGTCACACACGATCTCCGCCGCGTCACGAGCACGGATGCGTCACGACACGCATGCGTAACACGGTTACACACGATGCGTCACGACACGATGCGTCACGACACGATGGCTGTCACGTCACGATGCGGTCACGTCCGATTGCCTGTACGAGCACGATGGTCGACCGATGCGCTCGACGACGACACGATGCCGTCACGAACAGATGCGTCACGACACGTGGCGTCACGTCACGATGTGTCACGGCACGTGACACATGCATGGCGCTCACGACAACGAATGCGTCACGACACGATGCGTCACGACACGATGCGTCACGTCACGATGCGTCACGACACGATGCGTCACGACACGATGCGTCACGTCACGATGCGTCACGGCACGTGACGACATGCCCATGGCGGCGTCACGACACGATGCCCGTCACGACACGATGCGTCCACGTCACGGATGTTGTAACGGCACGTGACGGACATGCATGGGCGCACGACCGATGCTCACGACGACAATGGTCACGTCCATGTGTACACGGCATCGTGACGTACATTGCCATGTGCCGTCACGACACGATGGCTCACGTCACGATGTTTGTCACGGCACGTAGCATTGCTGGTGCGTCACGACACGATGCGTCACGACACAATGGCGTCACGTCACGGGTTGTCACGCACGTGACGACATGCTCATGGGTGCGTCCACCGACACGATGCGTCACTCCGATGGTCACGGCACGTGACGACATGCAGTGGAGCGTCACGGACACGAGACGCCGGCACAATGTTTCGCGTGACACGCACACAACGCCGACGGTTCACGTCGCGACACAAGACGCGACACAACACAATGCGTCGCTGGCCACGTTACGGGCCGTCCGGCAACTTATACGGCGCGCGTCACGTCATTGCCACGACACAAGACGCACGACACGACATTGCATGAATGTGTCACGATATGTTCCTGACGTGTCACGCACGTAAACGAAACAACACACAGTCATGCTGCCGCCACGACCGACTGGGACCGACGTATAACGCATCGACGCACTGCACCTGTCCCGTGGGAGCGGTAGAAACATTAGCGTAAGTGGCCACTAAGCACCTGGCCCTGCATGTTCACGTATGGAGCGGGTTTCACATTCGGCATACAACTATAGAAAGGAAGCAGAATTATCGACACGTACCACAGAATCACCTCGGTCGCTGCCGTCGACATGTCCAGTCCTTGTGGCCATCGCAAGCTGGTCGTTAGAAAGACAACCGGGCGCTGAAGAGACACGGGAACATTTCGCCCTGGCACATTGTTGCCATCCCTCTGCGCACCTGAGAAAAACACGATACCACACTCACATTCGTCGTCGTACAAACAGTTCTATAGCAAACCTTTATGGTGACGAACAAGTACAATTGAAAATGCCCTTTATAGTACAGGAAAGTGCGCAAAAGAGGACACTCCGTCTGTTTAAAATAACTGCCTCCAAGAGAATTTTACGAGATTTGTTTTTAGAATTTTAGAATTAGGATTCTCAGTTTGCTAAACGTATCGACTTCACTGATGTCAGCGGAAAAGATCAGCATGCATTCCAAACGGCTATATAGAAGTTAACCACTCTTCCAGAAAGGTTGGAGACAAACATTTGTTTTTGTTCAAACTCACAGGCGCAGAGGGAAAACATTTCCTTTTTTTACTAATAACGTTTCTTTTACGTGGAAAAACACCGCCATCACCACACCAACATAACACAACCAACAACAACAACAACAAAAACAATCAACCAAACAACAACCCACCCGCGGACAGCTCCTTCTCATCTTCGCCATTTTTGCAGTCTTCTCCTTGTCGCAGACGAATGCCACCAGAATGGCAACTGGGGGCGACGTCCCTCCTCGCAGCGGAAACTGTAATTGGTCGCCGTGAGCAGGAGCCGCTGTGGTTGTGTTGCTGCTGTAAGGCACGAACGCAAGCACACAGTCAGCAGACACATGTTAGATTGCATGGCAAGCGTTGCCGTCGGTGTAAATATGCTCGCATACGCACAGCGCATGCATGGTTTATCTAGATATGCCTGGCTAGAATAATTTTAATATGACTTCATCTGCGAATTTCACTATACCTACACAAGGTACTTTGATGGGAAGACGGTCGGGGGGTTATTACGGGACTTCGACGCCAATTCGCGTCTGTCACACCTCTACCTCGGACTGGAACATCAGTCCACTCCTCGTCCGCTGGAGTCGGGGCAGTCCGCGACGCCGCTTACACGCAGGTCGTGTCCGATGCAGTTGCCGTCGTGGTTGCAGCGGAACTCTAGCCGTGCTGCAGGGTGGTCGAGTCTGTACGTTCTGCCGTCCAATCTCACCTACACAAGAGTCGTATGTACTCATGCACGGTGATCGCATCTTCGCGTACGCTCGTACACGTATTCACAGCAGCCGGGACTAACTTGTTAGTGTCAGCAGACTTTACATGACCAGCTTCATATGCTGTTGACATTTAGGTACAGAAATTAACGCCTACAATTTTAGAAAAAAAACATTTCATATTTTAAAAGTTACAGTACTGAGTAAAATCTTCACTTATAATTATTACTAGTAATTATACTTACAACTATAATTAAATAGAATAATTTTGTAAAATTTATCATGGATTATATATTTTAAATATTCAGCACGCAGCGTCACGCGACCCGTTGTCACTCGTCGCGCGATTGTCCATCTGTCACCATGTGCGAACACGTCGTCACGCCTCACCCATCCGTCATCACGTGTTGTCATGCTTCGTCCCACGTCTCCACGCATTGTCACCGTCGCTTACATTCCTCCTTGTTGGATCCATCAAGCGTCACGTGTTGTCACAAATTGTCACCCGTCAACACGTGTTGTCATGCTTCGTCCCACGTCTCCACGCATTGTCACCGTCGCTTACATTCCTCCTTGTTGGATCCGTCAAGCGTCACTCATCGTCACGAATCGTCATCAACCGTCATCAGGTGCTGACGCACAGATGTGTTGTCACTCGTCTCCACGCGTTGTCACCCCCGCTTACATTCCTCATCGATGGATCTGTCAAGCGTCACGCGTCGTCACCCTCGCTTACATTCCTCATCGTTGGACCTGTCAAGCGTCACGCGTCGTCACGAATCGTCATCAACCGTCATCAGGTGCTGACACATTGTCACCCGTCATCACGCGTGTCCGCGCGTTGTCACCCTCGCTTACATTCCTCCTCGTCGGATCCGTCTCCGCAGTCATCGACCCCGTCACACTTCCAGCTGAGCGGCACACACGCCGCCGTCCTGCACTGCAGCTCCGTCGGCCCACAGCTGCTCGGCGACGCCTGCGACGTAGATGGCGTTGTCGTAGACGCTGAAAAACACGAGAACGCGTTACAGAGGGTGCTCTCGACGTGCCCGACACGGTGCGACTTCACGCAGGATTAAACTCGTGCGCCGACGAAGATTTGATTGCTGTTTTCCGTTTTTCGTTTACCGTTAACTTAATTTTTGCGCTCGCTCGCGCATGTGTCCTAGTTGATTTAAATTAGGTAATACAGGTGTCTTATTCTGTTTGTTTCTGCTTTCATTTTGTGTTGTTTTGTTGGAAATGCCCCCCCCCACCCCACGTTTTCTCAGGGGACCTGAAAAACCTGTTTACGCGGCTCGATTCCATCGAGTGGCGCCACCTACAGCAGTTTTGTTCGTCTGATCCGTCACGGCAGTCGTCGTCGCCGTCGCAAACATAAGACGCGTAGATGCACTGATGGTTCGCACACAGGAACTGGTAGTCGTTGCACGTCACGTGGGTGCCTGACGAGTGAAAAACAACACGAGAACACGTGAAAAAAACGGTCACGTGCGCCATAACTAACGATCGGCGGCAAAATTTACCTCGCAGGTTAAAATGGGGCTGGTGCATCTGCAAAGACCTTGATATTTTACGATTCTTTCCCCATTTTTATCATCCATGGTTAGATGTAGGTAAGGGAATCATCCCTGGTTAGATGTAGGTAAGGGAATCATCCGTGGTTAGATGTAGGTAAGGGAATCATCCGTGGTTAGATGTAGGTAAGGGAATCATCCGTGGTTAGATGTAGGTAAGGGAATCATCCCTGGTTAGATGTAGGTAGGGGAACCATCCGTGGTTAGATGTAGGTAGGGGAATCATCCGTGGTTAGATGTAGGTAGGGGAACAATCCGTGGTTAGATGTAGGTAGGGGAATCATCCGTGGTTAGATGTAGGTAAGGGAATCATCCGTGGTTAGATGTAGGTAGGGGAATCATCCGTGGTTAGATGTAGGTAGGGGAATCATCCATGGTGAGATGTAGGTAAGGGAAT